CGGATGCGCTCGGTGTCGAAGGTTCCGTAGCAATTCGAGACCGTGCCAACCGCGTGGTTATGCTTTGCGTCGAGGGTGTCGTGGCCTAGGCCGCGCAAGGCGCGCGGATGCGCTCGGGTCCGACGTTTTCGCGGCACCTGGAAACCGCGCGAGACTCGCGGAAGTAATCGGTGTCGAGGTTTCTGGGGCATTATCAAACTATCTGAGACCGCTTGAGACCACCATCGGGATTCACCTGGATTGCAGGCTTGTGCAGTTCATGCAGATGTCGAGACCCACCCGACACTCACTCACTCTTGTGTCAAGTGTGGGATCAGAGACACTTAATGTGGTTGGGCACGGAGGGGCCGCCGCCCAGGCGCGCCAGCCGTTGCAGAACTGTTCGCGCTAATCAGCCCCACATCGGCTCGGCGCGCGTGCAGCGGCCGATGTGACCGCATCGGGCTGTCCTTGGTACACTAGTGTGTTCGCCACTTGCACCTTCTGTAGAACGTTCACACTTCCGTCTCCTTTCCTTGCAGCCTGTAAGCACGGCGTGGCGCACTTGCCTCGACACCCAGACGAGAGCTCAGGAACTCGGCATATTTTTGCACCCAGAAGTTGGACACACATGGCAGGGCTGGCCGGGGCGACAGCTGGATACACTTGTGGCCAGCTGTCTCCCCAGCGCTCTCAGCCTTTCTGTGGCCGTGCACGCAGGCTTCCCGCGTGGGTATCCAGCGCGTGGCTTCTACATCTCGCCCGTGTGAATCCAGACATGTGTGTTTCCAGTCTCCTGGCAGCTGGGCGCCATGATGCGCGGTCGTGGCGCCATCGGAGGCCGTAGGAGGGCCGCTGCACCGGTGTCGGGAAGTTGGCAGCCCGTGGCCGAGAAAAACATACGGTCGGGAACTCGTGCTTTGCGTGTCGCACCGCTGGTTTTGGACCACCGCGCTGTGGCGCGGCACGGTACGGTAACGACATCTCTGTCGCCGAGCATCAGCGTCCCGAGTTTTTTGCCAGCCCCCCGCCATCGCGGAGCGGAGCGACGCGGTCTCCGCTCGCAGGGCATGGCACGTCGCTGGAGCCGCCGCCGCGACGCAGTGAGCAGAAGTTGACAAGGTCGTTGTTCTGATGCTTGAAGCTTACAGCTTCCATGGGACGTTACTGCGCAGGGCCTCTGTGTATGCCTGCCTGTATGGACGCGGCGAGACTACGACATACACGAGAGGTCAACATTGCATACACGTGCGCACGTCAGTTGATCGGGACGTCCTGGCCTTCACAGGCAAATGGCCCCGACGGGAAGGAAGGCAATGGAGAAGGAAGGAAAGAGAGTCAGAGATAGAGACGCGAAACAGCCCGAGGCGCGTCTTCTGCAATGTCAGCCACCGTTTGGCCCAGACAGTAATTCATTGAATTTAGAGTGCGAAAGGTAGGTGGTCCAAGATGCTTGGTGCAAGCTATGCGGTGCAGTCAATCACTTGCTCAACTTGAAGCTGTCCTCTCCACTGCTCGCGCAAACATCCCACCCTCCCACCCGCAACTTGGTTTGCAAAACCTCTTAAGACCGACTACGACGACACCGACGACAACGACGACGACGACACCGACGACGTCTCCGACGACTCCGACGACGACAACGACGCCGACGCCGACGCCGACGACGACGACGACGACGCCAACGAAGGCGACGACGAGGGAAGAGGAAGGACGACGACGGCGACAACGACGACAACGACGACAAGGACGAGGGAGGAGGGAGGACGGCGACGACGCGAACGACGACGAAGGAGGAAGGACGGCGACGCCGACGACGACAACGACGAGGGAGGAGGGAAGACGACGACCGCGACGACGACGACGACGACGACGGTGACGAAATAGAACCGACGACGAGACGCCGACGACGGACGACGACGACGACGTGGGAGGAGGAGGACGGACGACAACGACGACGGAAACGACCACGACGCCAAAGAGGACGACGACGACGAACACGAGAAAGGACAGAGGACGACGTAGGCGACGACGGCGACGACGACGACGCGGGAGGAGGGAGGACGGCGACGACGACGACGACGCAAGAGCGCGCGCGCACGCTTTTGTTGAAAATCCGCGTTGCGAAACCTTAGGTTTGTGTTGGTTTTTTGGACGCACGATTTTGAAATCCTTCCGAAACCGATGGGTTTTGAAGGTTTTCGGCATACGCCCGCGACGACGCGCGCGTCTGCACTTCGTCTCATTTTTTGCAAAGGACTCTCGCGACGGCACACGCGCAAGGGCGTTCGACAGATTTCGACATGCGCGTGCGCGAAGCCCGTTTGGTAGCATTTTGTGAAAATCTTGAAAAACTAAGATTTCGCAAGAGCTCGCGCGGAAGCTTTTTTAGCAAATCAGTGTTGCGAACCCCTGTGTTTTTGTATGTTTTTGGGTAGCTCGATTGCGAAATCTTTCCGGCACCGAAGGTTTTTGAAGAATTTCGGCATGCGCGCGCGACGACTCGCGCGTGTGCACTTCGTCCAATTTTTTGCAAGGGATTCGTGACAAAGTGCTATGTTAGAACAACAAATGTCACCGCATAGTGTATTTTTTTCTACCAGGGGACCTCAGGGGGGAAACCGGTTTGGCTGGGATGATATGATTTCAAATTTAGGATGGACGAGTGGTCAGAATCATATATGATTTACATACCCGAAAGGGGAATGGATAAGTCCGGGCGGGGTAGAGTTTATAATTTTTTAGAAAGGAAAATATACGTGGTGCAAGCTAGAGGCAGCAACGAAACGGCAACGGCGGCAACGTGGAGAAGCCTCACCGGACCCACTAGCCAGCCAGACACACCCAGCGCACGAGGCGGCCACGAGGCGGCAAAGGTCGGTAACATGGTGAAATCTCGCAGGACCCACCCAGCGCACAAGGCGGCAACGAGGCAGCAAAGGGTGGCAGCGTGGCGACTTCTCGGAGGACCCACCCAGCGCACAAGGTGGCAACCAGGTGGCAACCAGGCGGCAAAGTGGCGAACCTTCGCTGGATCCACCCAGCGCAAGAGGCGGCAACGACGAGGCAACGGGCGGCAACGTAGCGAAGCCTCGCCGCATCCACCCAGCGCACGAGGCGGCAACGAGTCGGCAACGGTTGGCAACGGGGCGAATCCTCGCCCTGCCCCTCCCAGCGCATGTGGCGGCAACGAGGCGGCAACGTGGCGAAGCCTCGCAGGATCGACCCAGCGCACGAGGCGATAACGAGGAGGCAAGCGGCAGCAACGTGGCGAAACCTCGCCGGACCCACCGAGCGCAGGAGCATGCGACGAGGAGGCAACCGGGCGGCAGCGGGGCGAAGTCTCGCTGGACCCACCCAGCGTGCGAGGCGGCAACGAGGCGGCGGCAGCGTAGCGAGACATTGCCGGACCCACCCAGCACACGAGGCGGCAACGAGGCGGAAACGAGGCGGCAACGTGGCGAAGTCTCGCTGGATTTATCAAGCGCACGTGGCGGCAACCAGACGACAACGACGGAAATGTTCGCCTTGTCCAGCCAATTCCAGGGGGACAACTAAGAACCCCTAAGTCCAAGCACTGTTTGGGGAAAAAGGGTCTCGCCGTCTTCCTCCGTATCCGTTCCTCGCATTGCCATCCAGTTGTGCAAATATGCGTTGATTTATTGAGGATCACTGTCTAGTCCTCGATGAGACTGCGGAGCAACAAGAAAACGTCAAATGGAACACCGTCGCATTGCGTTGTGCTGTCGAGGATCTTTTGCCCCCCCATGAACGAACCTGGAGGCCTCGGCCGAAGTCAGACGTAGCCGACCGCCGAGCAGCTCGGGTCAGGGGCGTGCAGGGTGAAAAGACACGGAAACAACATACACACGCACACACACACAATTTAAGCTAGATTGCTCGCTTGCGTTTTCTCTCTCTCTTTCTCTCTCTCTGGGCCCCTCCAGGAGTCCTCTCTCCGAGGTAAGCGGCGTGCTCGCAATGCTTGGCGGCGCTCCGAGTTGGACGTGAGCGGGGGCGGGCCTTCTCACAAGGCGGCGAGGCCTCTCAGAAGCTCCCCAGCCTTCTGGGAAGCCCTTTTCGCGTTTCTGGAGCAGGCTTGGAGCGCGTCGCCGCAAAAATGATTCCTGAGCCTTCTTAGGAGGTCCGCCGCCGACTTGCGACCTGAGACATGATCAGGATGATCGACATGGGTACGGAGATAATGGGCACGATGCCCAGCAGCAGTTCCTGCTCATTTTGAACAGGACTCGCTGGCCGCGCCGCTGCGGACCCTGTTCATTGACGACAAAGAGCCACCTGCCCCACAGCGGCCGGTGTCGGTTTTGGACAACCTTTGTTGTTGCGCATTGTGCCCATTTTTTCGAGCCCATTTCGGGCGTCCAGACATGAGCAGATTCAGCCACGCGCGTAGGGGGGTGTGGGGGGAGGGGGGAGGGCTTCTCAGAAGCACCCCTGCCTCTCAGAAGGCGCGGGCCTTCTCTATAGGTGCACGGGCGGCGCATTCCAAGCAGCAGCCTCCTTCTAAGACGACCTCCCCCCTCCCTCCACCCCCCTCGTGCGCGGCGCCGACAGACGGCGGCGTAGTCCTGCCGACTCGAGGAGCCAGGGCTCTGCTGGGGCGTGCACGACCCGCGGGCGCCCGCGCGGACGGGGCGGGCCCCATGTGGGGCCGCTGCCACGGGCGCGTGCCAGCGCGCGGCCGCGGGCGGGGCCGACCGTGGGCGCTGGCCGCCGCGGCTGCTGCGGCGGCCTCGGGCCTGCGTGCCGGAAGGCGGGGCGCGGGGCTGCGGCATGCCCGCGGGGCGCTCGGGCCGCGCTGCGCCGTCATGGCCGCGGCAGGTGTCAGCCACGCGCAGAAGGGGGGTGTGGGGGGAGGGGGGAGGGCTTCTTAGAAGCACCCCTGCCTCTTAGAAGGCGCGGGCCTTCTCTACAGGTGTAAGGCCGGCTGCTTCTAAGAAGCAGCCTCCTTCTAAGACGACCTCCCCCCTCTCTCCACCCCCTTGTGCGCGGCGCTGAAGGAGGCGAGGAGGTGTTGCAGCTGGCGGATGATGTCGAGCAGCGTGCGGAGCTGCCGTTGCAGCTGGCGGATGATGTCGAGCAGCGTGCGGAGCTGCCGGCTGCGCCGCCGCCGAGCAGTTCTCGCGATTACAAGTTGCACGTCGGAGCAGGGGCGCGCGGCGTTGGCGAGCTGCACGCCGAGGCCGAGGGCCTCGTGGGGTGGGTGCGGCCACAGTCGTGGCAGCTCGAGTACCGCCGCAGGTGGCAGAGCTATGTGAGAGGCTTCTGGCAGCCCTTCGCGCGAACGCGTCTCTCTTCAGGCGGGTGCGACGCGACCATGCGCTGGTCGCGGACCTTGCTCCCGAACGCAACCAGGGAGGAGTGCGAGACTATCGATGGCTCTGGCCTGGATCTGAACGTGGAAACGACCGTGAGGCACCCCTGGTCGCAGTCGCAGCAAGTTGGCGCCACGCGATCGCCTGCGCTGTCCTTAGAGCAAAGGGTAGAGCTTGTGATCGGCCCTGTCGGACAGACGAAACTGCTCAACATGGCGTTCCCAATGGGCGCAAAGGTTGGCGCCGTGTGGGACTCCTCTGATCACGCTGCCGAGGGGGAGAAGACGCCCTGGGTGAAGGTGTATGCCGACCTCTCGATGCCTGGGCTCCAGGAGCTGCGCGGGTGGATGGGCCAGGTGGAATTGGCGGACTCGCTCCTCGGGCTGCTGCGCACGCACGTGCAGAGCGTCTGGTCCCGCAGCCCGCCCAGCTTCTGGTCGGTGGAGCACCTGCGCACATGGGGGCCCGTGCCTCTGCCGCGGCTCGTGTCCGACTCGGTCCACGCCGCCGGCTCCGTCGCCGCGGGCATGCTGGAGGGGCTCGTGCCCGTCCCGCAGGCGCCCACCGGCATGGCGGTGGTGCCCGTGCACAGGCTGCGGGCAGGCACCGGGGGTCCGAGTGCGGGCCTCACCCTCGACAGCTCCCAGAGCGGCCTGGGCGGCTCTGGGTGGGGGAGCGGCGTCGAGGTGAGCCGCCAGGGCTGGGGGGCAAACCTGCGGCTGGCTGCAGGCAACGCCGACCACTCGCTGGGCCAGCCGCACTACACCATCACCGCGCATGCGGGTTGGAATCAGGCGCCGCACCTGATACACGAGTTCAAGTGGATGTTCCAGGATGGGCAAGGTCTCTGGGCAATCGTGGACAAAGCGCCTGACGCAAAGCCCCGGCTGAACGTAGGCATGGAGATACGGTGAGTGTTCGCGTGAGGTGCCCGCGCATGCTTTCAGCTCCCTGGCTTGGGGTCTCCGTCGCGGGCCGCGCTCGGACGACTTCAGGACTGGCAGTGCGAGCTTCGGCGCTCACTTTAGCTCATTGTGTATGTAGTCTGCGAAGTTGTGTGAGTTACTGCTCGCGAGCGCTTCACACGTGCTTAAAGTATGTGTATTCAGTGTTCTGCATGACGTGTGTTGTGTTAGGTGCTTTATATACGTCCTGCCACTGCGTGATTATGCTTCTCCTCGAATGGTCAACTGTTGCTTGCACAAGCTGTTCGTCTGGCATGAACACTCGTACTTGTGCAAGTGGTTTCTGCACTACAGATGTTGCTTTTATCGGTCGCCGATGCCAGTTTGGAAGTTCACATTGCGAATCCCTTTCTCTTGTGGCTGGTTATTGGTGTGCTCATTGGTGGCTTATTCCATTTAGCTAGTATTGTAAGTATCGGGCTCTTGTTATCGAAGACGCCTACGGTGAACCCCCGCCGATCCCTGCCGGAATCTGGCCAAACTGCCAGACTATTGGGCAACGTGCTCCTGGGGCCATTGTGGAAACCCTTGGGGAAGCGCTTGGGCGGCGAAGGAGAGGAGCAGAGGCAGGAGGAGAAGGAGGAGGAGGCCTCTTGGGACCTACTGACCTCTCGGGGGCCTCTCCGGGGGATTCTTGGTTGTCGTCGGATTCGGAGGCCGTCTTGAGGGCGTCACTGGGCCGTGTTTTGGGCTCTCCGGGGACGCTTTCGGGCCGTCTTGGGGGTTTCTGGGGTTGTTTGGGGGCCGTCTTGATGACATCTTAGGCCATCTTCGGACACACTTGGCCCGTCTGGGCCCTGTTGGGATATGAGTGAGCCGTCTTGGTACTACATTGGAGGCCTCTGGTGCCGTCTTCGGCCGTCGGAAGGCCGAAATCGCGAGAACGCTAATCTCACTAAAAGAAGCATTATGGGTGTCAGTGAGTTTGAGCCTCCTGAGGGCCTTCTGGACATTCTCTTGGAGCAACTTGGACCACACTGCATGTAGACATTCCGCAGGGCGCCACGCTCGTTCCTCCACAGCTGCACATGAGCACTACTCTCCTCTCTCCCCTGGCTACGTCCAGAAGATATTCGGACCTCTCCACGTATGGCTTTTTTTCACAGGAGGTTGACTATTGTTGGTTCGTTGTGTTTCACCATCCGATTGTTTTTGGTGCTTCCAACTGGTTTTATACCTGCGGCGTGGGCCTCATTTTCGGATCGGCGATTTGCCCCTGTTGTTCAGATGATGCTATCGCTGTGCCACTTTTCTGGGTCTGCGTCCTTTTAAACCGTTATCGCCCTATTCAGTTCCCCTCCTCTGCCTTCCCCTGGGCACAAAACATTGATTTGCTTTAGGTTTGGGAAGGATATTGGCCTCAAGAAGGGCCTCAGAGGCGATTCGAGGCACTCTAGAGGGGCAACGCTCATATACGACCCCTCCTTCTTTGATAGATCTCCTCCAAGATGGCCCCCTCAAGCAACTTGGGCTCAGACCATTTTGGCAAGAGCCCGCCTTCTGTGCCTGCGCGCGGTGCTTGGGGCACTTCACCCACGCTCTCCAGGAGAGCCGCTGGTGACGACTAAAACAGAAGGTGCTCACACATGATGTCTCGTCCTTGATGTCAGGCTCGGGAAATTTGTTTTTGGCGCCCATGCTGTTCACTGGAGCGACGCACTTGAGGGGCTCAGATCGGGTCGCGTCCACTTTCCGTCTGGCCGTCCTCCCGTTCTTCCTTGTCCCGCACGTGTTTTTCAAGCTCCCACAGGCTGGGCGGGCACTGGTTTCGTCATTTACATTTCAGCCATCCCTCAAGGCCGCACGGAGGGGGTATTCTCTTTCGCTGGCCTCGGGCGTCTGCTGGTTGCAATGGCGCTCAGTTCCCATCATCTACAATGCTGCTATCTCCCAATGCCGCGTGGGGAGGGTACGGGCGGCGGCCTATTTGTTCAGCGTTGCTGGGACTGGGCCTCTTACTGTTATCTTTTTCACGCGGTGCTGCGAATGGTGGTCAATTACTGCAAGGGCTGGAGGCTTTTTCCTTGAATGCAATGAGGCTGTTTTCGGTGTGAACGATCCGTCAGGGTTGCCCGATGACCAGTTTACTGTAGCGGGCCGTATCGAGTTTGCTTCGGTTCAGCTTATTTGTATCAAGGTGGCTTTTGGCATTCTTTCAACTTCCTCTGTATTTGTCTGGCGTTGAAGGGGTGAACTGACATTCTATGTTTGGGAGGAACCCATCCGCGGGCTTATGGTTCCACGGGCTTCTCTGCCAGCTTTTCAGAAGAAGTGCGTCCTCTTCCTGTCCGTCGTGCTCTTCGACAAGTCCAGGGGGGGGGGCGTCTGTTTCGATCTTCGCTTCGCGACTGTTCTCACTCACTCACTCCAAGATGGCCCCAAGAGCGCCCCGAAGGCTCCCAAGAGCGCCCCAAGAGCGCCCCAAGAAGGCCCCAAGAGGCCCCAAGAGGCCCCCAAGAGGCCTCCAAGAGGCCCCCAAGAGACCTCCAAGAGGCCACAAGAGGCTCCCCGATATACGCAAGAGGCCCCCGGGACCGCCAAGAGGCCCCAAAGACGGCCCAAGAGGCCCCCAAGCTCGCCATTGTCCTCCTCCTCCTCCTCCTCCTCCTCCTCTTTTTCTTCCTCCTCCCTCCTCCCCCTTCCCCTCCCCCTCCTCCTCCTCCTCCTCCTTCTCCTTCTCCGTTTCCTCCTTATCGTCCTCCTCGTCCTCGCAGTCCTCCATCTCCTCATCATCTTCCTCCTCCTTCTCCTCCCCCCCTCCTGCTCCTGCTCCTCCTTCTGCTCCTCTTCTTCCTCCTGCTCCGACGGCGACGGCTCCTCCTACATCCTCCCCCTCTTGGGGTATATGGCGGCTCACCCCGCCGATCTGGATTATGGTTTTCTGTATCTTACGTTTTGTATGACGACCCCATTGACCTCTAAGAGAACAGCTCTGGGTTCTGAATCCGCCCCGCTCTGATCAAATTAGTTTGAAGACCATGTAATCAACATCTCACCTAAACCCTGCGGATCCAGGCTCCGTTCGCGTCTTATTGCAATCATGTAAGACCCTTCGTTCAATCCAGGAAATCATTGTGGATGTGCAATCCGTTCCGCTTGCATTGAAGTGAAAGTATAATTCGTGTTGAAGGTATTACGGAATATCGTGGATGGGGAGTTTGCCGAAATTTTGCTTACATCCATTATCACACCAGTAGGTTCACATCGGCATCGTTTTCAACGAGATTCGTCTCGTTCAAATCCGAATCACATTACAACCCATATGAAATACAATGGACACATTCTCAGAAAAAGAGATAGAGAGAGAGCCAAACAAAGAAAGAGTGAGAGAGAGAGAGAGAGAAATGGGGAGGGAGAAAGCAGGACCACTCACAAGCCACCGAGACAACGACGTCACCCCCCACAAATGGGGCGGGCAGGTGGTACTACACAGGCTCTTGTGCGCCCAAGTTGCAGGGACCTCTGAAGCGAGCCGCCTGTCTTGGCCCAGCACGCGTGCATTTGTTAGAAACCCGTCACACTTGGGCCTCCCAGAGGGGGAGCCGCCAGGGTTGTGGAAGTCGATGAATGGAGAGGAAGCGTGCTGCCAAACCATTTCCATATTCCTAGAAGCTGTTTCAAACATGCTCAAGATATGTAAACAAACATGTTGGAAACATGTTTAGAACCTGCTTTTCACAGTGTAAACACATCTTTACTTCAATGCTAGGATTATTAGAGGGTCCATTGTCATGGCATCCACAACGCCAGGGTGTATGACACGGGCCTGGTCGCGTCGATATTGTGGGGACCCCTCAGGCGTATTGCCGACGTTTGCCTTCGTAGAAGCGTTCCCTTGCAGGGCCCCATAGCCCCCGCGATGTCGCAAGAGCCGCGCTGTGCCTCCCAGCGGGGTTTCGCCTGGGCCCGGGGCACTGCACGTGCCCGCTCTCGGTCAGATTACGGAGACGTCCTCAGGATAATTGCCTTTTTTGACATCGTAGATGCATATTGCTTTCAGGACACCATTTTCACCGCGATGTGGCAGACGTGCCAAGGAGGGGCCACCAGGAGGTACTTCACAGGCCCTTTCGCGCTCAAATGATCGGGATTGTGTTGGGAGGGTGACCGTTTGGGATATGTCAACGCCAAGGTGCCATAGCCCCCATGCCACCGCGGTGTAGCAAGCATGGCAGTTGGTATCGCACGTCACGTTCGTTTGTCAGTTGCATGCGCGTGTGATTTGTCTTGTGTAGTTAGGCCTGTAAGATAAGATGCTGTCGTTTGTTACTAAACGTATGCGCTCATCTAGTGCAGTTTCGCCGTGCACGCTAGTCGAATGGTCGTCTGCTCGTACGTTGTTTGGTTCGACAAGTGTGTCTTCCCGTGCGAGACAGAATGCCAAAGTGGTTTCCATTGCATGTCTTGTGTTTCATGGCATGTCGTGCTGCGATCGCCCAAGCCCCCAAAACCCATCGTCCGCGCCCCACCCGCGTCTCCCCGCAGCATGCTCCCCGTCCCCGCCCGAGCCCCCGCAACTGTCGGTGGTCCATTCCCCAACCGGCATCATGTCTTGCTCGTTCCCGCAGCCTGGGCCCCAGAGTGCACAGTGGAAGCCCGACGCCTTGCAGGTTCTGAGGTCTGGGCCGAGCGCCTCTTGCCTCCTCATCCTCCTCAGTCCATGATCGTCTTGGTCCCATTCCCCCTCTTCCTCTTCCTCCTCGTCGTCCTTCTCCTGGTCATGCTCCCTCCTCCTCCCCCTCCCTCCCCCAGCTGCCTCTTTCCAAGCGGACCTGACGATCCGAGGTGCTCCGCGAGAATGTGGACAAGCTGTGGCCTGTGCAGGCTGCGGGCACTTCCGCTCTCAGGAGGGAGATAATAGGCGCAGCGGCAGCGCAGGAGAAGGAGGTCCACTCTTACGCCAGAGGTGGAGGAAGAGGAGAGGCGGAGTTAGAGGCGGAGGGGCAGACGTAGGAGCAGGAGGAGAATAGAAGCATGCCAAAAATTAGGATTATGAGGATAAGGAAGTGGATGTCAGAGGCGGATGGGGCATCACAAAGGAGCAGGAGGAGGAGGAGGAGGAGGATAATGATGAGGATGACTGGTAGGAGGAAGGGATGAGGACGAAACAACTACGCGATGAAGATGGTGGAGGCCGAGGAGGGAAGGACTGATGGAGGATGGTGTGGTTAGAAGGGGGAGGAGGAGGAGGAGGAGGAGGAGGAGGAGGAGGAGGAGGAGGAGGAGGGAACATGCACGAGGAGGACGAGGACGGAGAGAAGGAGAGGGAACGTGCCAGGGGAACACGTTCTCTTTCTCCCCCATCCCCTCCCCCCTCCCCCCGCCCCCCGCATCTCCATCCTCACCTCTGTGGTGGCAATTCGCCGCGGTGGCATCACCCCCCTGGGCGCCGCCGTGGCCGCTGGTCGGCGCCGCCTGCGCTGGCGATTCCGGCCGCACCGCCGGAGGGCGGCTCCAGCTGGGGCTGCACACGCAGGGGACCACCACGCGAGCGCTCCAGCAGGAGCGCAGGGACGAGGAGGGGTCGGGGTTCTAGGGTTCCAGGTTGGCCTCGCGCGCGCCCCAAGAGGGGGCACGAGGTCCAGGCAGAGAAACAAGCAGCCACGGGCGGCAGCGGCGACGAGGAGGGAGCGGGGAGAGAGGACCAGGGACGGGGACCTCAGGGCGAGAGGATGAGAAAGCGTCAGCCTCGCGCGAGCAGCCCGCGCGCGGCGTCGAAGACAGGCCCCATGGCGGGAGGGGGCTCCCCTTCCTCGAGGCTTCCCCTGCTCCCTCGGGGGCAGTGCCCGGGTCATGGGCATCGTCGGGGGCGGATGGGCTCCGGGGGGGGGATGCATCGCTGACGAGGAGCCGATGGCCCACCCCGCCCAGGACCGTGCAGGTTCGCTGTCGGGGCCGATCGCCGCTCGTTCGGGTCGGCGGTGTATCGCGGGTTCCAGGTCGATGGTTCCCCGCCCGAGCCAGCCCCCTGCGTCGTTCCCTGTTCGCCAAGGCCGATGGGGGTCACCATCAGGGGAGAGGGGGGGGACCACCACCAACACTTGGAAATCGAAGATCGAGGACGAGGGCGGATCGAGGAGGTTTTGCACGTTCTCAGACGTCTCTGGGGTCCTGGAGGGGCTCGTGGGGGTTCCAGGGAGATTTTGTTGCTGGAGGAGGTGACGGACTCCAGCGTTGCCTGGCCTCCTCCTCCCCCCCCCTCTCCCCTCCCCGCCCACCCGGCGCCTCGACCGGACTCGAGGCGGTCGGTCTGTGGCCATGTCTGGCCTCCAGAGAGGCCTGTCTGGGGCCTCGCGGCCCGTCAGGCAGCGGTTCTCGGGACGAGAAGCCGATCCGCGGGAGTGGTCGAGTGGTCCGCGGGCCCACGCACCGAAGACACTGACGCGCCAGATGTCCTCGTACCTCTTCGCTCCGCCCCCCTCCCCATCCCCTCTCCACTCTCCGTTTTCGCGCCAGCCCACTCCCTCCCGCCGTGCGCTAGACTGGCGTTGAACCTGCACTGAGCCCCTGGGCTCGTTGAACATCTGAACGTTACGCGCAGTAGCGAAGAAGAAAGGCCGTGCAGCAGCGCGCCACCCCCAGCCCATCCCCCTCCTCCTCGTTGTCGCCTCCCTCCAGTGGGAAAAGCGGGGGCGGGCGCAGGAAGGGCAGGGAGCAGAAGAGTGCATCTGGGCGCGGTGGCGCAGCACAGTGGCAGCTCATGTGCAGCTCGCTGGGCAGGGGCGCCGCAGAGCAGCTACGGGCAGGGGCACTGGCTTAACGTGTCGCTCTGCCGGCTAGAGCGGAAGGCTTCTCAGGGTATGGTTCAGACACACAGAAGTTCAGAAAGGCACCCGACAGCGAGGACAGGCACAGAAGACGGTCTGAGCCTGGCTTGCTGCCCTGAGTCTCTGCATCTGGAGATCTCGATGGTCGTAGCAATATTCAAATTTGAACTTTGAAGACCAAAGTGGAGACGGGTCTCGGCGCGACACGCTGTCCAAGTCCCCATCCCCAAGCGTCGAGGTCCCGAGCTGCTCCCAGCCTCCAGACCCGTGGAGCGGCGCGACACGCCATCCGCTCGAAGGGCACGGCGCGTCGCTGGGGCCGCTGCCGCGACACGCCGAGCCGAAGAGCTCGACTGTGCCCAGTCTTCCGCCTGAATCGCCGCGAGCTCAGCGACGGAGGCAGAGGAAGAGCAGCAGCGGGCGAAGGGACAGGCCGAAAGGCCGGAGGCCAGGCGAGGACTCGGGCGGGTGGCAACGCGGGCGGGTGGCAATGGGGGGGTGACCTGCACGGGGGTGGGGACAAAGGGCCCTACAGGGTCACTTTCTGAGGGCCCCTCTTGGAGCCAGCAGGCGCCCCAAAGGGGCCCTGACGTGCCCCTTTGGGGCCCTGTTCTTCGCCCCCCTTTCAGGTCACCCACCATTGCCACCCGCCCCAAAAAGCACGCACACACACACACACACACACGTGACACACACAATCACACACACACACACACACTCGTGACACACACACACACGCACACACACACACACACACTCGTGACATACACACACACACACTCGTGACACACACACACACACGCACACACACAATCACACACACACACACACTCGTGACACACACGAACTCACACAAACACACACGCGACACACACGCACTCGTGAAGGTAACATTGGGATGTCCGCGGCGGTCTCTTCGCAGGCGCGGGCCCCCCCTCTGGGCACCGTCTGCGGCGCCCCGTTTCGACAACCCCAGTCGCTCGCCGCGCAGGGGTGTGGGGAGGGGGCCTGTGCTGGACGACGACGACGACGAGTAGGAGGAGCGCTCCTAGGCATCACGACCGCCCTGGCCAAGTTCTTTGCCAGGCTCACCGCATTCCTCATCCTCCCTGCTCCCGCTGCGGAGCCCCAGTCAGAAGGTTCCGTTGATGGCGCCATGGACGTGCGCATGGCAGTGCAGATGCGGGCAGCAGAACTGGAATACGTCGGTGAATTGCGTCAAGTGCAACGGTCATTGGAAGTCATCCAAAAAAGAGAACGGCACCAACATCCACAAAGGCCGCCAGAGATCCAAGAGTCAGAGATCCAAGAGTCAGAAGAGCCAGAGATCGACATCATAACCACGGCCATGGGAAGACGAGGGGAAGCCCAACGGTGCCCCATATGTACGAATGGCGACTCCAGCAGAAGCGCAGGCTCATCCAGACTATCGACCGTTGAGTACGCGTGCCACGGAGTCAGAGAAGAAAGAGTACTACAGAGAGATACGCTCCAGGTTGAACCTGCTCCAGCAGAGGTACAACTTAGCCTGGGCCATGAGAGAGCCAGTACAAGAGCTGGCCACATCGATTTCCATATTGAGACGAATGCTGATATCGGAGAAGAGCCTACATCAGCAGAGCGCCTGGACAGATACCACAATTGCCAGGATGATGTTGCGTGTCGAGGCAGCCAACAAAGAAGTCACATCGCTAAAGGACCACCTCCAGGCGAAGATCAACGTCAGAGACGACCTCCAGGATCAGCTGGACGCGCTGAAGCGCACCAAGACGGAGATACACCAGCTCATGGAGGCCGAGAAGCAGCAGAAGGAAATGGAGAGCGGTACGGACATGGACGAGGACAAGCCGTGCCAGGGCGTGGTGGTCTTCCCCGAGCGCCCCACAGAGGAGCCCCCTCCATGCGCGACCTCTACACCAGCATCGACACCTGCGGCGTCCACTACAGGCACGGCACCGTCCAGCGCCAGCATCCAGCAGGCAGTCCAGATGCAGGTCGAGGCTCACCTGAAGCCCATGGCAGATCAGATGATGCAGATGCAACAGATGATGGAGGCCATGATGATGCGAGATGCGATACGGTCATCAGCGACAGGGACGACGGCTACTGGACATCAACCAGCGCCATCGACGCCCCAGCCTCCTGCTACACCGACCGCGGCTCCCAGGTCACCACCATCACTGACGCCGACGCAGCCGTGTACACCGATCCCGCTGATGGAGACCACGGTTCAGGACACGCCTGCGGGATGGATCACGGTGAAGGAGAGGGCCGCGGCCATCGAGAGCAGCTCGGAGGGCGGACAGTTCTCCTTAGGGCCAAGACAGCGCAGCAGCCAGAGGACTTCAGCATCGAGGAGTCCAAGCACACGCACCCAGAGGACGAGAGCGCCAGGATCCTCCAGGCGCCCTGCCAACGACAAGGGCAAGTCGAGGACGGCAGCGGCAGCCTTCCGCAAGCCTCAGAGACGGTCGGACATCGAGGAGGTCGCCAAGACAGCAGTGGATCACAGAGCGCCGAGCAGCGTTGCCGCCCAGATGGATCCCTACGCGGAGAGCGAATACTGAGCCTACACGGCCATGAGAGGGTGTCGGATGGGGAGAGCCCGACACCCAGCAGCATGCATGTAGGCTCTAGCGAGCAAACACCGCCCCCCCCCCAGCGCTCCCGCGCTGAATTCGACAGGCCCAGATCCAAGGTGGCTTTCGCCACGACTGTGCCTTTTCATTTCTATGATCCCTCCCCCGTCTCCTCCTCTCCTCCCGATGTTGGGTTGGGCAGTTCGGAGGTGCAGACCCCAGGTGCCCTGGGGCGTTTGGGGGCTAGTGACCGCACTGGCCCGCAGGTCCTGGACCTCGACAGTCGGATTCCGATCGAGGTCGCGATCGAGGGTGATGATCCTACCGACTCGATCAGATGTAATTTGGGACAGGTAGGACTGCTCACACGCCTTCAACAGGAAGGGCGCCAGATAGACCTTGATTTTGATGTCAGCAGAGTGGGCCTGTTACGTGTGCAAAGTCAGAGCCTGAATTTAGTCATCAACCTCGCCCTTCT